TGGGTGTTTTTTGACAAGATGTGAGATTTAATGATTTTCTTTCATTTGATTTCATTTGATTTGTTGCAAGTTTTAGTTGCAAGGATGGGATCAAGTCTCATGTACAGAATATATCCCTTTTTGTTATTCATTAATTATTATATTTGTTTGATTGGCCTAAACACCTTTTTTTCACTATTTTGCTTTCTGATTGCACTTTCTATTTTTTAGCATTTTTGTGGGTTTTTTTAATTTTCATTCAATTTGCTTTCATTTGATTTGTTGCATTTTTTTAGTCCCAAGGATGTGAGTAAGATGTACGCTTGACACAAGTTCTAATGTACAGAAATTATTGTTTTAAAACAAACACGAACAAGGAGTACTGGTTACATTATTGTGCTCACTTGTAAATCTTATTATTATGTATTTGTCACCAACAACCGGTTATGTTTTAAGTTAAGAATACCGTTAAAAGTATGTATACATTAACAGGATTGTAATGTGTTCATTATGAATGCATGTCATCATACATTCTCCAGGGCAGTGTGAATACTGTCTGTCAATACCACTGATCTTACGGCAGGTGCGTAAATTTCATCCTTTGTCTCTGCATGAAGTAAAGAAAGCTCACCTCCTCATGTTTTGATATGGCAGCGCCCTGTTTGTCTTTGGTTCTCACTATGAAAAGGAATTCACTTTATACGACTACATGGTTCTTTTCACTGGAGTCGATATATTTTGTAAGTTAATAAACTTGCCAAAGGTTTCTTCATAATATTTCTCTGTTTTTGTGTGAAGCTGTAATAAGACATTCATTTACTGTCACAAGTGGACAATAGTACGTCGGCATGGAGACACACAGTCCTGTCATTTTACATCGTAAATTTAAAACATATACTGTCAATTGAGGTCACATGTGACGTCATTCTGTGGGTTGGCTGTCTTCGATCTTAACCACCCTTTAAGTTCACCTGTCGCGGTTGAACTGCGAGACTTAGACGTGAGGCGTGTAAGCCTTAATTTGCATTATTGTCTAAAGAGACATTTTAGTCCAGGCTTCATTGTAACCTGAGATGCATGCCCTAACCACGGATAAATGAAAAACATTAGAGGCACCCTGGCGACAGTAAATAATGTTTACTCCTTATCGTAGAGGCGAACGTTTTACACCAGATATAACTGTACATGTATGAGCATGCCCTGATAGTAAACTCTGTCAAAAAAGAAACGCAACCCCTGTCCTCAGATATGAAAAATTCGTTTGAATGAAGTAATTGCTTCCAAACTAAATTTTATTCGAATGTATTGAAATGATACACGTAATTAATGAAGATTACCATCCAAACAACTGCATTTGTACGCATAAGTGTATTTTATTGCTTATTCCGTCACAACGCATGAAATGACCCTCATGGTGACTTCGCACAAAAAAAAAACACATGCAAATCATGAAAATGGCAGTTAATGTAGGGGTGTATAAAAGCCCATGTGCTTCCGTATTATATTCATTCATTTGTCGCCGAAAAGCTGTGTTAAAAATGCCACGATTGAGTGCTGCCGACCGAAATATCGCCATTGGTCGTGTTCAAGCCGGAGAAAGTGTTGGAACTGTTGCACGGCACCTAAATGTTCACAAAACAACGATATCCCGACTTTGGAGCCGCTACAACAACTTCAATTTGACCAACGATCGCCCGAGAAGTGGAAGGCCAAGAATCACGACCCCCCCCTTAAAGATCGGTACATCCGGGTCCATCACCTGCGTAATCGGCATGCCCTACCAACCGTGACTGCCACACAAATACCAGGTTTGAGGAGAGTGTCAGCTCAAACGATTAGGAACCGTCTGAAAGAAGCGGGTTTACGTGCCTGTAGACCAGTTGTTGGACCTGTACTACGCCCCCTACATCGACGCCGACGACTCAGGTGGTGCAACAACGTAAGGATACGGACTTTACAAAACTGGAGGCGAATCTGGTTTTCTGATGAATCACGTTTTCTTTTGCAACGTCACGACGGAAGACAGCGTCTGTATAGGAGACGTCATAAACGTTTTGCGCCCATCTGCGTCCGACAGGTGGACAGATTTGGCGGAGAAAGCGTCATGGTTTGGGGAACCATCTCATACAACCAGAAATCAGACTTGGTGATCGTTCCAGGGAACCTGACAGCCCAACGTTACATCAACCACGTGTTAGAGCTTCACCTTCTCCCGATTATTGACCAACAGACACAGATTTTTCAACGGGACAACGCCCGGCCTCATACTGCACGTGCAACAATGAACTTTCTGCAGAATTCCAACGTCAATGTCTTGCCATGACCCTCTAAATCACCAGACCTCAACCCTATTGAACACCTGTGGGATACTCTGGATCGACGCGTACGTCAACGTCAGCCGCCGCCACAGACGCTGCAACAGCTCGCCGTTGCACTGCAGGAGGAGTGGAGAGCCATTCCCCAGGAAAGAATCCGGCGTCTTATCCGTTCTTGTCCAAGGAGATGCCGTGCAGTGATTGCAGCGCGTGGTGCTCATACGAGATACTGAGAAAGACGCCCCCCCTGGTGACAAACTGGTGTCTGTGAGATGACTTTTGAAATGACAATTTTAAACATGCCCATCTGGGTTATTATTCTGCCAAATTTCAGACTTCTGTCTTAAATAATAAAAATGCCGTGTCGTCCTAAAACTTCAGATCAAAATCTCTAAAATACAGGGGTTGCGTTTCTTTTTTTGACAGAGTTTATTTGTTATCACAAAGTCAACCGGCCCTCCACTTGTTAACAACGGGTTTGTTCTGACCTCTACATAGCTATGTTTAGTCAGCTACGTCCAGATCACTCTGACACAGTGCTGTGCGTGTCTGGGTACAATCAGCTATTTTAGAGATAATGTATGTTTATTCATGTATAAACAGATCTTCCGTATAGTGACAATATTCACATTTTTAAAGAAGTTCAAAAATATATATCAAATTCCAAAAGGTTCAGTGATTGGATATAATGTGTATGATCTAAATAATTCATGTATTCATTGTATTGTATATATCATTTTGTATATATCTTTCTATCCCTGTACATATAGTTTGTTTCACTTTTGCATGTAAGCACTGTAAATAGGAGAGGGTTTCACTAAGTTGGCATAACTTGTACCCAATCCATTCTCTTGAATAAATATGTTTAAATCAAAATCATGTATATGTTTCATGTTACATATGCTATACAAACATGCTGTAGACACATAATGTACACACATGCTGTGCACACATGCTGTACACACATGCTGTACACACATACTGTGCACACATGCTGTACAAACATGCTGTACACACATACTGTACACACATGCTGTACACACATGCTGTTCCCACATACTGTACACACATGCTGTGCACACATGATGTACACACATACTGTGCACACATGTTGTACAAACATGCTGTACACATATACTGTACACATATGATGTACACACATGCTGTACAAACATAATGTACACACATGCTGTACAAACATAATGTACACACATGGTGTACACACATAATGTACACACATACTGTACACACATGCAGTACACACATGCTGTACACACATGCTGTTCCCACATACTGTACACACACGCTGTACACACATGCTGTACATACATACACATTCATACAAAGACACACTTAAACACAAATATGCACGTGGCATCTGTGACATGCTATAAACACATACTGTACACACATGCAAGCACACACTCACATAGACACACACATGCAAACTCATACCCTCACATAGACATATAGACACACACACTCATATAGACACACACACACGCAAACACATACTCTCACATAGACACACACACATGTAAACACTTACACTCACATAGACACAGTCTGTGTATGTGTACGTATGTGAGTGTGTCTCTGTGTGTGAGAGTGTGTTCTGTGTATGTGTACGTATGTGAGTGTGTCTCTGTGTGTGAGAGTGTGTGTTCTGTGTATGTGTATGTATGTGAGTGTGTCTCTGTGTGTGAGAGTGTGTTCTGTGTATGTGTACGTATGTGAGTGTATCTCTGTGTGTGAGAGTGTGTTTTGTGTATGTGTACGTATGTGAGTGTGTCTCTGTGTGTGAGAGTGTGTTCTATGTATGTGTACGTATGTGAGTGTCTCTGTGTGTGAGAGTGTGTTCTGTGTATGTGTACGTATGTGAGTGTGTCTGTGTGTGAGAGTGTGTGTTCTGTGTATGTGTACGTATGTGAGTGTGTCTCTGTATGTCTGTATGCGTGTACCTATGTTTGTGCGTGTCTGTGTATGTGTGTATACGTGCGTGTGTCTTTGTGTGCGAGACAGTAGGTGTGTGCCTGTGTCTGTGTGTAAACGTGTGCGTCTTTGTGTGGCCCTATCTGTGTGTGTCTGTGACATAAAGTGTGTGTGTCTCTCCATGTATCTGTGTGATAGCCAGTGTCCGTGTGTAAATGTGTGCGTCTTAGTATGGCTCTATCTGTGTATGCTGTGTCGGAGTGGGTGTGTGAGGGAGAGAGATAGAGAGAGATAGAGATAAAAAGAGACAGATAGAGGGAAAGAGAGATAGATAGATATATATATATATAGAGAGAGAGAGAGAGAGATAGAGTGAGAAAGAGAGAGATAGATAGATGGAGTGAGAAAGAGAGAGTGAGAGAGAGAAGAAGAAAGAGAGAGGGAGTTGTTCTGGGTTTGTGTACGTGAGTGTGTGTCTGTGTGTCTGTGCGTGTTTTTCTGTATCTCTCTCTGTGTATATGTGTCTCTGTGTGTGCGAGTGTGTTTGTAGATATAAAATACGTATAATGCTCGTCAAAGACGTTAATAACATAATCTGTGTTGTTCATATATGATAATTACGATAGAGAAACACCCACAGCTGATAATCTTCATTTTATACAACTCTAACAATTCCATGCACACTTGAGGGATAAATACACAGTGTTAAACATTACAGGTAGACAAACGAGATTTGTCCAACACCACCACATTTGCTAGATCAATAAGAATTACCTGGCTTTGTGTCATATCATTAGTCGAATGCGAGTAGCCGTCCTCATATCGAAACACAAATCCTAAGCGCTTGTTGTATCACACATAAATCCCCAGGACGTTCTTCGTGACAGGTACTCTCGGATACTTTGGCATTCCCACTATCTTCTATTTTAAACCAGTTGCAGCATTGCACAAGTCCGCCAGGTGAAATGAATAAGGCAACAAAAGCTCGCTGTGCCGGGTCACCGTGACCCATGGATTCACAGCTACCCGGGAGAGTAGCATGTCAGCACTTATAGAAGTAGGTGTACTTTAAATAGAGCGATCATTTTCAGCTTCAACCCATTCAGTACATATAACAATAACAATACTATCGTGAACCAGCATTGTGTCACGGGAGTGAAGACTAGTATTCACAGCGCAGTGGGCATATCAAACGTCTCACGGTACACAGTGAACGCATCTAAAGCAGAGGATATATCAATGTTCAGTGGCCTGGGTCGATAGCTTGTTTACGCGGTATATTGAAATGATACTCTTCCTAATGCACTGCTTTCAGCGTGCGTATGTTAACACTTTTATCTCAGCAAGGTAAGGTGAATCTGTCTAGCATTTACATATATCGCTTTTGTAGGCAAACCTCAATACTTCAAATTAATCAGATAAAAAGCATCTGCATCCATTTCGCAGAATATTGTCTGCTGTATTTGCGCTTTTTTAAACACGCACACGCACACGTTCACACCACGGACACGCTCACACCACGCACATGCTCACATCCACGCTCACGCCACGCACACGCTCACACCACGCACAAGCAAACGTACACGCTCAATCCACGCACACGCTCAAAACCACGCACACGCTCACACCATGCAAACGCTCACACCACGCACACGCTCACGACACGCACATGCACACGCTCACACCACGCACACGCTCACATCACTCACACGTTCACACCACGCACACGCTCACATTATGCACACGCACACGCTCACACCACGCAGACGCACACGTACACGCTCACACCACGCACACGATCACAACACGCACACGCTCACACCACGCAGACGCTCACACCACGGACATCCTCACAACACGAACACGCTCACACCACGCAGACGCTCACACCGAGCTCACGCTCACACAACACACACGCTCACACCACGCACGCACACGCTTACGCCACGCACACGCTCACACCATGTGAAGCCCATTTCTGGTGTGATTTTGATGGAATATTGCTAAAAGCGGCGTAAAACTGAATTCACTCACTCTCTCACACGTCGTTTCAGTTCAGTCGTGGATGCGACGTAAACCACCATTAGACCTTCCCCATGTCAAAACAGCTACCTTGAGATGACCTGCTATTTGAAGGAAGTTGAAAGTGCGTCATTTCTTTTCCTCGATCCGAATAAATGACGATTTTCTGTGCAAGCACAACAAACAAACACTCCCTTCCTAAGCCCAACACCACACCACCTCTCTCTCTCTCTCTCTCTCTCTTCTCTCTCTCTCTCTCTCTCTCTCTCTCTCTCTCTCTCTCTCTCTCTCTCTCTCTCTCTCTCTCTCTCTCTCTCTCTCTCTCTCTCTCTCTCTCTCTCTCTCTCTCTCAGGCAGGATCGGGGGTAGCGGGAGACAGCGGGGGAGCCGACAGACAGGGGGAAGAGTGCAAACAGACCAGCAGTGAGCCAGGGACAAGGAGGGACGAACATTGACCAGTCAATCCAGACCATCTTCTACCCTAATGTCAGCCTTACTTCGCCACCATCCCCTGAGTAGTCTCTCTCAGACTGTGTAAACTGTTCACCCTTCTTCACATAGCTGTACTGCAAGCATACAAACACACATCTTTGGTACGCGAACGACTCGTGTTGTTTGATCAGTGCCAGAGTTATTACACCGTACCTCGTGGAGGCCTGGTGCGATTTTCGCAAAGCGACTTTATGGTAGATACGACCGTCTTACGGTCACTTTGGGAGGCGGGGTCCTGATCCACAAAGCGTTCTTAACGTTACGACCTGTCGTAACTCTATAGTTTACCATACCGTCGTAACGCTACGAACGTTTTGTTGATGGGTCCCAGCATCGGGAGGGGCGACTGTGGTTGACACCCGGTGTCGGTGGAGAACGGGAATCTGGGAGTTGAAGCACTGGTTCCAGGAACAGGGGCCTTTTCCCAACAGAATCATGTAACCCTGACATCACCTACAGATGTGAGGATAACAACATTCATATCCTGGGACTGGTCGTGCAAACTTCTGTGATGTAGAAATATACTTTGCCAAATCATGTATACAATTGAATGTCATTTGTCAATGTATGCCCAGAAGGCGGTGGCTCCGGGTCAGTAATGAAGCTCTGAGGTGTGTTCTGCTGTAGTGTATCATGTGAGTAGCCTTGGTACTGTCATAGTGTTGTCATAGAGTAAACCATTTCAATAAGTTTCTGTAAAGCTTCATATATTCAAACAACATAATTGTTTCCATATGCATCCAAGTGCACCGAAATTCTATCCACTTTGTCTGTCTAATGTATTCAGCAATCATTCGGTGTAGCCCTTTTATCATAAACCCCTCTCAGGGCAGGACCCTCAATTCTCAATGCCATCAGTAAATGTCAGTTAACATCTCCCCACGTTGGCGGATCTTACGTATGTACATGTGCACAGGTCAGTGACCTTGCACAACGTGGCGTAATGTCCCTATGCCTAAAACCGGACTCACATGGTCAGTCAGGAGACCATACAGGGAGACCAGTCAGGAACCATACAGGGAGACCAGTCAGAGACCAGGCAGAGAGAAACGGGCCCAGATCATCCACCGAAGCGGACGGACTGTGCGGCTAGTCGGGGCGTCGGCCAAGGCCGTCGCCTCACCAACGACTACGTCGATGATGAAGAATCTCCGTCCGACTTCTGAATGTGTGTAAGTGACAGAGCGGGTCTCCACATCGGGAACATTGGCCACTCGGTCCCCATGTGTGTTCTGTCACGTGATTTCCATCTTATGTACCATTTCTACCATAATTCCCAAACCATAATAAACATGGCTGCTGCTGTCTTCAACTATACTGCTGACTTTTGTCTTCCGCCTCTTGAACTACCATCCGAGAGTACCACAACGAACGCTCTTGGGCAGTACTGTCAGTGTGAGGCCCAGTGCATTTAACCCTGTCTATGTGACACTCCATGTTAGTGGAGGTTACGGAGGTTGAAACCGAAAACACTGAACATATTTTACGAAAACACCGAAATTCAAAATGCAATTTTTTATAAACAATGAAACAAACTTTTGATGTATCTATAAAAATATATTGCCGAGCACATATATGTCTAATGTTTTGGAATATGGCATATAACGTACAGGTTCCAAATCTTGACTTGGGTGACATAATGTCACTGTACTCTTGTTAAAGTTGTTCTAATTACAAGTTTGGGAGTGGTCATCAGTTGACTTTACTTCACTTATATACATTTATATCCAACCGGTACGAAACCCCCAAACACGGGTGCGATACTAAAAGCAACTGGATCATTATCTGACTGAATTGACTGGGATTCGAACAAAAGATACCAGAATCCTAATACAGTAATGGGGCGCAACTCATCAAAGTAAATTAACATAAAGATCTGTAGATAAAGGAAAATGATGATTAAGAATAAACGACGAGCCAATTGCACCAAAATTACGCCAGCATGTAAGAAGCATGTATTAAACCCACTGGTATTAAGAAGCAAAGCAAGGGCTCCATAGTCCGCCTACAGAAACACAATCTCTGGTCAAAGTCCTTCGCATCTATGTCATGCTGTACACGTTCCTATAGAAACACAATCTCTGGGTCCAAGTCCTTCACATCTATGTCATGCTGTACACGTTCCTATAGATACACAATCTCTGGGTCCAAGTCCTTCTCATCTATGTCATGCTGTACACGTTCCTATAGATACACAATCTCTGGGTCCAAGTCCTTCACATCTATGTCATGCTGTACACGTTCCTATAGATACACAATCTCTGGGTCCAAGTCCTTCACATCTATGTCATGCTGTACACGTTCCTATAGAAACACAATCTCTGGGTCCAAGTCCTTCACATCTATGTCATGCTGCACACGTTCCTATAGAAACACTATCTCTGGACCCATGTCCTTCACATCTATGTCATGCTGTACACGTTCCTATAGATACACAATCTCTGGGTCCAAGTCCTTCACATCTATGTCATGCTGTACACGTTCCTATAGATACACAATCTCTGGGTCCAAGTCCTTCACATCTATGTCATGCTGTACACGTTCCTATAGATACACAATCTCTGGGTCCAAGTCCTTCACATCTATGTCATGCTGTACACGTTCCTATAGAAACACATTCTCTGGGTCCAAGTCCTTCACATCTATGTCATGCTGTACACGTTCCTATAGAAACACAATCTCTGGATCCAAGTCCTTCACATCTATGTCATGCTGTACACGTTCCTATAGATACACAATCTCTGGGTCCAAGTCCTTCACATCTGTGTCATGCTGTACACGTTCCTATAGATACACAATCTCTGGGTCCAAGTCCTTCACATCTATGTCATGCTGTACACGTTCCTATAGATACACAATCTCTGGGTCCAAGTCCTTCACATCTATGTCATGCTGTACACGTTCCTATAGAAACACAATCTCTGGGTCCAAGTCCTTCACATCTATGTCATGCTGCACACGTTCCTATAGAAACACTATCTCTGGACCCATGTCCTTCACATCTATGTCATGCTGTACACGTTCCTATAGATACACAATCTCTGGGTCCAAGTCCTTCACATCTATGTCATGCTGTACACGTTCCTATAGATACACAATCTCTGGGTCCAAGTCCTTCACATCTATGTCATGCTGTACACGTTCCTATAGATACACAATCTCTGGGTCCAAGTCCTTCACATCTATGTCATGCTGTACACGTTCCTATAGAAACACATTCTCTGGGTCCAAGTACTTCACATTTATGTCATGCTGTACACGTTCCTATAGATACACAATCTCTGGGTCCAAGTCCTTCACATCTGTGTCATGCTGTACACGTTCCTATAGATACACAATCTCTGGGTCCAAGTCCTTCACATCTATGTCATGCTGTACACGTTCCTATAGATACACAATCTCTGGGTCCAAGTCCTTCGCATCTATGTCATGCTGTACACGTTCCTATAGATACACAATCTCTGGTCCAAGTCCTTCACATCTATGTCATGCTGTACACGTTCCTATAGAAACACAATCTCTGGGTCCAAGTCCTTCACATCTATGTCATGCTGTACACGTTCCTATAGATACACAATCTCTGGTCAAAGTCCTGCACATCTATGTCATGCTGTACACGTTCCTATAGATACACAATCTCTGGGTCCAAGTCCTTCGCATCTATGTCATGCTGTACACGTTCCTATACATACACAATCTCTGGGTCCAAGTCCTTCACATCTATGTCATGCTGTACACGTTCCTATAGAAACACAATCTCTGGGTCCAAGTCCTTCACATCTGTGTCATGCTGTACACGTTCCTATAGATACACAATCTCTGGTCAAAGTCCTTCACATCTATGTCATGCTGTACACGTTCCTATAGATACACAATCTCTGGTCCAAGTCCTTCACATCTGTGTCATGCTGTACACGTTCCTATAGATGCACAATCTCTGGTCCAAGTCCTTCATATCTGTGCCATGCTGTACACGTTCCTATAGAAACACAATCTCTGGGTCCAAGTCCTTCATATCTGTGTCATACTGTACACGTATCTATAGATACACAATCTCTGGGTCCAAGTCCTTCACATCTGTGTCATGCTGTACACGTTCCTATAGATACACAATCTCTGGTCAAAGTCCTTCACATCTATGTCATGCTGTACACGTTCCTATAGAAACACAATCTCTGGTCAAAGTCCTTCACATCTATGTCATGCTGTACACGTTCCTATAGATACACAATCTCTGGGTCCAAGTCCTTCGCATCTATGTCATGCTGTGCACGTTCCTATAGAAACACTATCTCTGGGTCCAAGTCCTTCATATCTATGTCATGCTGTACACGTTCCTATAGATACACAATCTCTGGTGCAAGTCCTTCATATCTGTTCCATGCTGTACACGTTCCTATAGAAACACAATCTCTGGGTCCAAGTCCTTCATATCTGTGTCATGCTGTACACGTATCTATAGATACACAATCTCTGGGTCCAAGTCCTTCACATCTGTGTCATGCTGTACACGTTCCTATAGATACACAATCTCTGGTCAAAGTCCTTCACATCTATGTCATGCTGTACACGTTCCTATAGAAACACAATCTCTGGTCAAAGTCCTTCACATCTATGTCATGCTGTACACGTTCCTATAGATACACAATCTCTGGGTCCAAGTCCTTCGCATCTATGTAATGCTGTGCACGTTCCTATAGAAACACTATCTCTGGGTCCAAGTCCTTCATATCTATGTCATGCTGTACACGTTCCTAGAGAAACACAATCTCTGGGTCCAAGTCCTTCGCATCTATGTCATGCTGTACACGTTCCTATAGATACACAATCTCTGGGTCCAAGTCCTTCACATCTGTGTCATGCTGTACACGTTCCTATAGAAACACAATCTCTGGGCCAAGTCCTTCACATCTGTGTCATGCTGTACACGTTCCTATAGAAACACAATCTCTGGTCCAAGTCCTTCACATCTGTGTCATGCTGTACACGTTCCTATAGAAACACAATCTCTGGGCCAAGTCCTTCACATCTGTGTCATGCTGTACACGTTCCTATAGAAACACAATCTCTGGGTCCAAGTCCTTCACATTTGTGTCATGCTGTACACGTTCCTATAGAAACACAATCTCTGGGTCCAAGTCCTTCACATCTGTGTCATGCTGTACACGTTCCTATAGAAACACAATCTCTGGGTCCAAGTCCTTCACATCTGTGTCATGCTGTACACGTTCCTATAGAAACACAATCTCTGGGTCCAAGCCCTTCACATCTGTGTCATGCTGTACACGTTCCTATAGAAACACAATCTCTGGGTCCAAGTCCTTCACATCTATGTCATGCTGTACACGTTCCTATAGATACACAATCTCTGGGTCCAAGTCCTTCACATCTGTGTCATGCTGTACACGTTACTATAGATACACAATCTCTGGGTCCAAGTCCTTCACATCTGTGTCATGCTGTACACGTTCCTATAGATACACAATCTCTGGGTCCAAGTCCTTCACATCTGTGTCATGCTGTACACGTTCCTATAGAAACACAATCTCTGGGTCCAAGTCCTTCACATCTGTGTCATGCTGTACACGTTCCTATAGAAACACAATCTCTGGGTCCAAGTCCTTCACATCTGTGTCATGCTGTACACGTTCCTATAGAAGCACAATCTCTGGGTCCATGTCCTTCACATCTGTGTCATGCTGTACACGTTCCTATAGAAACACAATCTCTGGGTCCAAGTCCTTCATATCTGTGTCATGCTGTACACGTTCCTATAGAAACACAATCTCTGGGTCCAAGTCCTTCACATCTATGTCATGCTGTACACGTTCCTATAGATACACAATCTCTGGGTCCAAGTCCTTCACATCTGTGTCATGCTGTACACGTTCCTATAGAAACACAATCTCTGGGTCCAAGTCCTTCACGTCTGTGTCATGCTGTACACGTTCCTATAGATACACAATCTCTGGGTCCAAGTCCTTCACATCTAAGTCATGCTGTACACGTTCCTATAGAAACACAATGTCTGGGTCCAAGTCCTTCACATCTGTGTCATGCTGTACACGTTACTATAGATACACAATCTCTGGGTCCAAGTCCTTCACATCTGTGTCATGCTGTACACGTTCCTATAGAAACACAATCTCTGGGTCGAAGTCCTTCACATCTGTGTCATGCTGTACACGTTCCTATAGAAACACAATCTCTGGGTCCAAGTCCTTCATATCTGTGTCATGCTGTACACGTATCTATAGATACACAATCTCTGGGTTCAAGTCCTTCACATCTGTGTCATGCTGTACACGTTCCTATAGATACACAATCTCTGGTCAAAGTCCTTCACATCTATGTCATGCTGTACACGTTCCTATAGAAAAACAATCTCTGGTCAAAGTCCTTCACATCTATGTCATGCTGTACACGTTCCTATAGATACACAATCTCTGGGTCCAAGTCCTTCGCATCTATGTAATGCTGTGCACGTTCCTATAGAAACACTATCTCTGGGTCCAAGTCCTTCATATCTATGTCATGCTGTACACGTTCCTATAGAAACACAATCTCTGGGTCCAAGTCCTTCGCATCTATGTCATGCTGTACACGTTCCTATAGATACACAATCTCTGGGTCCAAGTCCTTCACATCTGTGTCATGCTGTACACGTTCCTATAGAAACACAATCTCTGGGCCAAGTCCTTCACATCTGTGTCATGCTGTACACGTTCCTATAGAAACACAATCTCTGGTCCAAGTCCTTCACATCTGTGTCATGCTGTACACGTTCCTATAGAAACACAATCTCTGGGCCAAGTCCTTCACATCTGTGTCATGCTGTACACGTTCCTATAGAAACACAATCTCTGGGTCCAAGTCCTTCACATTTGTGTCATGCTGTACACGTTCCTATAGAAACACAATCTCTGGGTCCAAGTCCTTCACATCTGTGTCATGCTGTACACGTTCCTATAGAAACACAATCTCTGGGTCCAAGTCCTTCACATCTGTGTCATGCTGTACACGTTCCTATAGAAACACAATCTCTGGGTCCAAGCCCTTCACATCTGTGTCATGCTGTACACGTTCCTATAGAAACACAATCTCTGGGTCCAAGTCCTTCACATCTATGTCATGCTGTACACGTTCCTATAGATACACAATCTCTGGGTCCAAGTCCTTCACATCTGTGTCATGCTGTACACGTTACTATAGATACACAATCTCTGGGTCCAAGTCCTTCACATCTGTGTCATGCTGTACACGTTCCTATAGATACACAATCTCTGGGTCCAAGTCCTTCACATCTGTGTCATGCTGTACACGTTCCTATAGAAACACAATCTCTGGGTCCAAGTCCTTCACATCTGTGTCATGCTGTACACGTTCCTATAGAAACACAATCTCTGGGTCCAAGTCCTTCACATCTGTGTCATGCTGTACACGTTCCTATAGAAACACAATCTCTGGGTCCAAGTCCTTCACATCTGTGTCATGCTGTACACGTTCCTATAGAAACACAATCTCTGGGTCCAAGTCCTTCATATCTGTGTCATGCTGTACACGTTCCTATAGAAACACAATCTCTGGGTCCAAGTCCTTCACATCTATGTCATGCTGTACACGTTCCTATAGATACACAATCTCTGGGTCCAAGTCCTTCACATCTGTGTCATGCTGTACACGTTCCTATAGAAACACAATCTCTGGGTCCAAGTCCTTCACGTCTGTGTCATGCTGTACACGTTCCTATAGATACACAATCTCTGGGTCCAAGTCCTTCACATCTAAGTCATGCTGTACACGTTCCTATAGAAACACAATGTCTGGGTCCAAGTCCTTCACATCTGTGTCATGCTGTACACGTTCCTATAGAAACACAATCTCTGGGTCCAAGTCCTTCACATCTGTGTCATGCTGTACACGTTCCTATAGAAACACAATCTCTGGGTCCAAGTCCTTCATATCTGTGTCATGCTGTACACGTTCCTATAGATACACAATCTCTGGGTCCAAGTCCTTCACATCTGTGTCATGCTGTACACGTTCCTATAGAAACATAATCTCTGGGTCCAAGTCCTTCATAGCTGTGTCATGCTGTACACGTTCCTATAGATACACAATCTCTGGGTCCAAGTCCTTCACATCTGTGTCATGCTGTACACGTTCCTATAGATACACAATCTCTGGGTCCAAGTCCTTCATATCTGTGTCATGCTGTACACGTTCCTATAGATACACAATCTCTGGGTCCAAGTCCTTCACATCTGTGTCATGCTGTACACGTTCCTATAGAAACACAATCTCTGGGTCCAAGTCCTTCATATCTGTGTAATGCTGTACACGTTCCTATAGAAACACAATCTCTGGGTCCAAGTCCTTCATATCTGTGTCATGCTGTACACGTTCCTATAGAAACACAATCTCTGGGTCCAAGTCCTTCATATCTGTGTCATGCTGTACACGTTCCTATAGAAACACAATCTCTGGGTCCAAGTCCTTCACATCTGTGTCATGCTGTACACGTTCCTACAGAAACACTATCTCTGGTCCAAGTCCTTCACATCTATGTCATGCTGTACACGTTCCTACAGAAACACTGTCTCTGGGCCTATCCTTCACATCTATGTCATGCTGTACACGTTCCTAAAGATACACTATCTCTGGGCCCAAGTCCTTCATATCTGTGTCATGCTGTACACATTCCTACAGAAACACAATCTCTGGTCCAAGTCCGTCACATCTATGTCATGCTGTACACGTTCCTACAGAAACACTATCTCTGGTCCAAGTCCTTCACATCTGTGTCATGCTGTACACGTTCCTATAGAAACACTATCTCTGGACCCATGTCCTTCACATTTATTTCATGGTATATCTTGTTAGACATCTGACAGGTGTCCATCTCAGCCTCCTGTTGATAGTCCAGCTCTCCATCATTGGGACAGTCTGGCTCTCCCTCCTGGGGACTTTCTCTGAAGAAACAAAGAACATATGGAGTTCCGATTCCCTGTTTTGAGCCTGCACCGCTTTACATTAACCTTCGCCTCTAAATATTTACATTTGAATAAATTGCCCAGCCTAAATGCGTGACGCACACTAAAAAGGATTCAGTCTTGCAATTATAACATGTTAATTGTTATAACACAAAACTGTATTTGTTCCCTGGAATGTTGCTGTAAAATATTCATTGTGCCATGTGTAACCAAAATCCAAAAGCATGATTTTTTTTGTAAAACACGTCTATATTTCAATAGTATATATGCTTGTTATATAATGAGTAGGGTATAATGAATTTTGTACACATGCAAAGTTGTTCATGTCATACACCAATAATCTTTTAAGAGCGATTAATGTACAAACAACTATGGTCATATAGAAGTGCAAGTGGTGATGCACTCACAAAACATCCATTATTATCATATCAACATTAATTCATTCCGATAGATCTCCCAAGTTTTTCAATCGTAAATTAAATATAAAGTTTCCCTACTTTTTTAACGGGATACATAATTTCAGCAGCCACAGGAAACTACCGAGTCAAGAATATGTATATTAGCTACATTTCAAGAAAGAGAAAACGTAATGAATTTATATACTGAGTCAAAAAAGAAACTTCACATTCTTTCTTCAGGGCACTTTAACAGAACAAGAGATGGTAAGATGGTTAAATTGTTATTATTTCATTGCTGAGATCTGTGTGATGTACTCGATACACTGACAGTGCCATAATCAGTTCCATTAGGCTACACCGCCGTTCCAAAACATGGATATACAGAATGTCAAGTCACAAGAATAAAAATGCGAAATTTCTCAGTTCAATATCGTGTATGGCCGCCCCGCGCATTCACCACTGCCAAACACCGTCTCCTCATTGACTGCCTGATGCTTGTGAACACGTGGTTGGGGATTCTGCGCCATTGCTCTTGCAAGGCAGCGCCAAGTTCCTGCACATTCTGAGGTTGGTTCCTTAGACCACGAAGCCTTCTCCCAAGTGCATCCAAAACGTGCTCTATTGGATTAAGGTCAGGGGACCTCGATGGTCAGTCCATGACGTTGATTCCATCGTTTTGAAGGAAATATCGTGTCAACATCGCAGTATGCGGCCAAGCATTATCATACTGGAACTGTAGACCTGGGCCATGAGCCGCCATGAAAGGAACGAATTCAGGGGTGAGCACCTGGTCGCGATAAGCAGCAGCTGTGAGGTTTCCACGGATGACCAGAAGTCGGGAACGGTTTTTCCCACAGAAAGCACCCCACACCATGCAACTTCCGCCCCCGAATCTGTCGACTTCCTGTACACAACATTGGGCATACCGTTCACGACGTCGTCTCCAGACTCTATGCCTGCCGTCCGCGAATCTGAGGGTAAACCTGGATTCATCGCTAAAGCCGACTCGATTCCAGTCTCTCTGGGTCCATCGGAGGTGACGTTGGGCCCAAAGCAGACGTTGACATTGATGAAACGGCGTCAATATTGGCCCACGATATGAACATCGAGAATGGAGATTGGCAGTCCGCAACCGATTTCGAATTGTCTGTGAAGACAGTCGACCTCTAAACATCTCAGCCCTGGTTCGTGTAGCCGGCAGAAATCTGTCACGTAGGTGACGTAGGACGATTTGACGGTCTTCTGCTCGTGACGTCACACGTGGACGACCCGACCTTGGGCGATCAGGAGTGGTGCCAGTTTGTTGTAGACGACCTCGCAAGTCATACACAGTACGACGGCTGCATCCCATTGCTCTTGCGACGTCAATAACTGATCTTCCCGCTTGCAACATGCCAACGGCACGTTCACGTTGCACATTTGACAATCGTGGCATTTCAAGTACCGGTAGAACTGTAGTTTAAAAGTGTTTTTTCAATTCTTGAGGCCAATGCAAACACGTGCATATGAAGAAAACTTCGATGCGAAGATCACGTGATCGACTGCACGTGCAAAACCTGATTTTGCACTAACGTCATTTGCACGACGAATGGATGGGTTTGAGTGGGTTTTGCTAACGTTTTTCTGCAGTCGAAAGATAGGGATCCCATTTCGGATGCATACATGTATCATCAGAGAAGAATAATTCATTATTTTTCCAATTACATGTTGTGAAGTTTCTTTTTTGACTCAGTATACATTTGCCAAATGGTTTAAAGAATTAGTACCATTAATGTATACACTTTCTGCATAACCGGGAAGATATAACGGCAATAATAAATATGGTAGCTACATCATCATAATTATAGCATTATCAATGTTTACAGTTTCTGCATGACCCGGAAGCTAAACCGTCAATGATATACTCAGTAGCTACATCACCCGCAATTATAGCCTCATCAATGCCAGTTTCTGCATAACCTGGAATCTATGTGGTGGATAATATACACAGAAACTACTGGCTGCAGGTCTGCAGGATACAACTGTAGTACTTCCGCGTCTGTCCATCCCATGTATCAGTGTCTGTTGAAGAGCGGATACTACGGTATCAGTTAGGGGCAACTGATTGTGTTAAGAATATATCAACCAACGTCAACTGTTGAGTCCCCTCACCTTGGTATCCCTGGTTTCCCCACACGTCTACGGCAACACATCCCCACTACCAGAATGGCACCAACAACAACAAACAGTATTGAGGTCGACAGGGTGGCTATTTGTATACGTACGGACTCTGTAAAACATAAGAACATAATTAAGCATTAAACTGAACTCATGACATATTTAGACCACTGGTAAACCGAGAAAAACAACAGTGTTATAGTTACCATGGTTACAGTGTTCCTGTCTCAGGCATTCCTCAATGGAACAGTTGGGTGTGCAGGTTGAGTCACATCTTCCTCCAGTCAGGTGGCAACCATTGGAGCAGACGCCAGTCTTCTGATCACAGACACCACCAAGACAGACGTTACACGTGAGATGACAGTGTCCTCCATAGAAGCCACGTGCACACCCATCTGTACACCACCCGGTGTCTGACTGACACTTGGAGTTTCTACAGTTGGAACTACACGGAGAAGAGCACTGTCGGCCATACCATCCCTCGTCACACCTGTGAATACAATCCCCACTGTCTCTGTGACAGTCACGTACTCCAGTGTTTGGCGCCCGTAGAGGTTTGTCGGTAGAAATGTTGGTGTCTGGTCCACACTTGTCACTGCACGTCTTGTCACAGAACGCGCCATAAAATCCAGGAAGACAGCCCTCTGTGCATCCATGTTCACAGGATCCCAGGCAGTGATCACAGGAATACCCACATTTTGGTCCAAAGTATTCACGGTCACACTCTCTGCACGATCCTGTCGTCCTGTTGCAGGACTTACATCGACTGGAACACGACTTACAGCCAGTCCCGTAGTAGGAGTCTACACATCCAGACACACAGGATGACCCCAGCTGACAATATCCTCCATCACAACCACCTGGACATGCTGTACAGCTACTTCCTGGACTGTCACATGGTATGTTGCACCCTGGGCCGTGATATCCGGGGACACACCCATCAGTACAGTCACCTATACCAGAGTCTGACAACCGACATGAGTTGTTTCTGCAGGTCTTGCTGCATACTGACGTGCATTTCAGATCAAAATACCCGGTGTCACAGTCTGTGAGGCAATGCCCACTTCTGTCACAGTCTGAACAATGCTGGTTTTCTTTGCACTGGTCGCCTGAAAAATGACCAAAAATAAAGTATTTCTTCATACTCACATGTCAGCAATACTAGTAATAATCTTCATGCAATTCTGTTTATAATGGGCATTAGTTGCCTGATTATTTAATCATCTATATAAATGTAGAACATCCTTGGTAATACGGCCAATATAATGTATTAATATCTAATGGCGTGGTATATGGCATAGAATGACAATCTGAATTATTTGAATCTGAATCTGTTTGGTGCTTTACCTTCAGCAGAAACAACCAAAGATGCCATCCACAGCATCAGCAGCACAGTCATGGTTATCCTGAAACTAAATAAGTAACATTAAAACCATCCTACAAAGCATATTGTCCATGGGGTGTCTATAAAGAACACACCCGTGAATATCCGGGTTGATAAGAATTGATCTTCGGTACCCATAGTTGTCGTAAGAGGTGACTAACGGGATCGGGTGGTCAGGCTCGCTGACTTGGTTGGCACATGTCAACATATCCCAGTTGTGTAGATCGATGCTCATGCTGTTGATCACTGGGTTGTCTGGTCCAGACTCGATTATTAACAGACCACTGACATGTGGCTGTACTATTGCTGAGTGCGGGCAAAAACTGAGCTCACTCCCTCACCCTTAAAGAACAAAACTGTATCAAAATACTCAGTGCTTACATTGCTCCAGAAGCCTCATGTCTTCCCTCGTGAGCAGGAAGTGACTGACTGACTGACTGAGTTTGGTTTTACGCCGCTTTTAGCAATATTCCAGCAACATCACGGCGGGGAACACCTGAAATGGGCTTCACACATTGTACCCATGTGGGGAATCGAACACGATCTTCGGCGTGACGAGCCAACGCTTTAACTACTAGGCTACCCCACCGCCCCAGCAGGAAGTGAAACTACAAGGCAATGTCCGTGTGGCTGCCCGGTATTAAAGAGGTAGGGTAAGACAGATCCGCTTGCAGTTAGTGAAGTAAGTCTCACTGAGCTGGGCGTAACACACGGCTGTCCTAGCACTACACACTAAATACACAGACATACAGACACATACATATGCATATACATTCGCAGACGCCAACAGACACACACACATACAAACAAACATAAAGACACATACATGCAAAGACAATGTTATGTTTTTGTTAATTACTATGTCACTTTAATTAATATGGGTCACAAACGTTTAAACGTTTAAAGCGCTGAATGTGGATTTAAACTCGCACCTTGAACTTAGGCTATGTATTTTCACCTGTTAATGTGGTCGTGATATGGTTTTAGGGACTTGGACCAGAAGTAAGGTCTATTTGCGCCCAACACATTAATTGAAGTTGAACTATCATAAATATAAATAGGCCTACTGCAAATGTATATATTTACTATGCAAAACAATGTATTCACTAACTAGATATAATCTAGATATTTTGATGAAATGACGGGATCTTCTGCTGACTGATATGTATCAAAACATCAAGCAACCAATTTTTGTTTCGGAAAACAATATAATAAATATGATGCTCGTCCAACATAAAGCAGAAAATCAAACTGAAAAAGAAATGTTAAAACGATTTAAAAGCAATACATATAGTTGGTTTAATGTTTCTACATATGCGTAGATTGTCTCATATTTGCCTGATGCAGTAACGTACTCTAACATAGCCCTTAGGATTGAACCGTATATGATGTTGGGGCCCAATGCTGCAGCAAGGGAGAATGTATCATTTTTCTCGATCACGGTACTTCTAAGATTTCGTCTGATGTTAATACAACGGGGACACTCCAATAGGTAGTGCTGAACTGTTTCAGGCGTCCTATCCCTGCATTGGTCACAAAGAGGTGATACTTCTTTATCAACAATACTTCTGTAGGCATTAAGTGCACAGTAACCAAGACGAAGTCGAGTTTTAAAAATCTTCGTCACGTCTCTTACGACGGCGAATTTTACACCTTTTTATTACTGTATCTTCCAGTAGATACAACATCCCACACGTTTTGCCATTGAATGGAGACCGACTTCCCAATGGCACATTCGAAATCTCTTTAGCAAGGCCTGCATTCAAAATTATCAACTTCATCCTTTAGAAATCCTGACTTGGCAAGATTATCCGCTGTTGCAAGCCGACATGAGCTGGCACCCATAAAATATCACATGAGATATATTTAGTATTCAAATATGTGTCCAGTTTCAAAATTTCATAAACAATATCATTCCTGGACCCCTTTACTCCAGACTCAGTAGCCTTTATTGTTGACAATAAATCAGTATAAATGATTGCTTTATGATTATAGTTATCCACCCGCCTCAGTGCTTGTAGAATTGCTGTGAGTTCTGCTGCAAAAACTGACATGTAATCATGAAGCCTGAACAGATCGGAGATTATGTAATCAGGGATCCAGAAAGCTCCAGCAGTACGGATCCTGGCCGAATCCTTGGAGGCGTCAGTATAAAAGTTGGTAAAAACTGCGTATCGTTCCCGAATAAAATCCTCAGAAATCGCTTTCACCATTGTTGGGTTCATATCTGAACGATGGACTGACTGACTGAGTTTAGTTTTACGCCGCTTTTAGCAATATTCTGCAATATCGCGGCGGGGGACATCTGAACGATGGAACTGAGTTCAAAGGACACACACTTCAATCGATTATATATCTTGACCATGTACATCTCTGATCAAAATACACTTCCGGGAATTTGATGAAAAGGTCGTTTATCAATACGATGCCTGCAGGGGGGGTCTGAACAGATCCAGCATGCCAGCACCTAATCAAAAATCCACGAATAATTTCAACAGCAGAATCAGGCATTAAACAACTCATAGCTCAAATTATCTGCTCCGGGATAAGGGTTGTGGGCTTCAGAGATTGTCCCTTTGAGCTTATCATGTGTAATTGGTGTATATAAATCTGAAGAAACATCAGCCGTAGCCAGGGAAATATCTGGCATAAACTCAGCTTCACAGGTTTCCTTCAAATCTTGAAATCTTCAAGGAAGTTTTCACAACTACCTGCACTCTTAAACTGTTCTACCAGCCTGTGCGCTTTTTAACTATTCATCACTATGTTCCCATAGCAGGAATAGGAGAACTGTTATTTGTGCCACTCATCATTTTTATCCCAGACCAAATCGACTTTGATGGAGCAAACCTATTCATTGTATAGATGAACGATCTCCAAATTGAGGGTTTGGTACTCCTAACAATGCGTTGGATCTCTGCACTCTTTCGAAAATCAGCCAAATCACAAGGACGTGATGTATGACATACTTTATTGTAAGCCTTTTTCTAGCTCTGTTGGCCTTTCCACGTTCCTGGTTCCACCAGGGTTTGGGGGCTAAAGCTGGATGTTTATTTGCAGAAGGCATTCCAATAGATACCTGTGCAATCTCAACAATCTGTTTAGTGATATTATCTCTGGAGATATCTATATCATCATTGAACAAGTCAAGAGGGATATGCTTATCACACAGAGAGGAAAATTCAATCCAGTTGGTCTTTTTAAACTTCCACCTGGGTATATTATTTTTCAGTGACCGCATTGGACTCACCAGGATTTCTACAAACTCTGGGAAATGATCGCTACCACATCCCAGTTGCACTTATTTGCCAATGAAGAGGAAACCATAGATAGAAGATCTAAAGGACAAAATGTCCCTCTTCAAGGATCCATTCCAGTATTTTTATCGTTATTCAGGATAACCAGATCAGCATCATCCAAAAATGCTTCAACAACTGATCCTTTATAATCTGATTTATCACTGCCCCACAATTCATTACGACTGTTGAAATCACCACAAATTAAATATGGACCATTTGATGCCTCAACAATTTTCAAATAATCATTCACACTAGGTTGTCCAGTGTTGTATATATTAATTACTATGATTTTATCTTTTGTCACCATAATATATTTCTACTGCACTAGCTTCAAAGGCTGTTCTCAGTTATGTGTTCTTTAAAATATTGCTATGAGAGTGTGTTTTTTTGTAATTTGTAATATCACATTGATTAAGTGATAATTATTATGGGTCACAATGTTTAAAGTTTTGAGTGTGGGTTTTGGCTCACATCTTGCATCATATGTGTTCAATGGCAATAGTATTCTTTTAGCGATACGACTTTTGAGATAGCGCTTCGGAATTGCCTCCTTTGGCATGCTTGTTTATTTTGTTTTGACTTCCGGGTCCCGTCACGCCGTGTGTTTTCCACATGATTCCATAACGTTCTAAGAGGATAATGATGCAGCCTAGCTTTGTTAAATGCTCGAGAACTGTGTAAGAGCTATATAAAGGCTATTTTTTTAGTAGTGCAACAGGGGATTTTCACATGACTGGATTTATACACATCTGTCTGCCATCGTCAAGTTGATCAACATTTCAACACCGACCGTGCTTGTCTATTCAACTACTGTCATTGTAAACAACCTTCAATCAGTATATCTGCTCTCACTGTAAATGTCAAGACTCAGGTGAGTTAATATTTTAGATTTTTGATCCAATATTTTAGATTTGTGACTCAATTGCATTGTTCTAGAAATCGGCATTGTCATTCATTGTAGCTTGCTCATTGTGTGTTCAATATATTTTTGAAAATATTAGATTTGTCTGTGTTCTGTTTTGCTAGTTCAAATGAGACTCTTAAACCTTTTGTCACGACAAATAATTTACAGAAACAAAATACATCAGATTTGATAAAAATAGCGCATCCTGCTCTGCGGGAATTGTTTCATTATGATTCCTTGTTATTCTAGCCTTCTGCAAACTGGTATAACCTTTGATTTGAAATTACTTTCAGGCCACAGAAATGTTTCCTGTACACTAATAATGCAAAAAAAGTGTTTAAGATTGTCACCATGTGCAACAAGTCTTTGAGCTTTCCAATGCAAGATAGTGAGGAAAGCGAGAGCTCTATCTATTATTCATTGTCACCACGTAAATTATGCACGATATCTGTTGACACATTAAGAAATAAATGGGTTCTTGCAGCAACTACCATCCGTTCTATTTGCTCTTCTTTGTTAGTTGCATTGAAACAGCCGGCAATGACTTCGAACAAAAAAGTCAGGAACTTTTCAGGGGAACTACCAAGAATAACAGTTGGAGCCACATGAGTAGTTCCAGTAGGTGCGGATATCGTTGATTGAGCTTTACCCACAGTTGGTGCTGATATCGTTGATTGAGCTTTACCTACAGTAGGTGCTGATATCGTTGTTGGAGCTTTACCCACATTTGAACTATGAAAGAACACCAAGAGACAGAATTTTGTACAGAATGTGGTTTCAGTGTACTTGTACAAACAAGGACGAGAGTCTCG